CATACGACAAGCCTCCAAGACCACTAACTGGTGAAGGAGTTCAAGCACACGTCTACTCACACATAGCTCATACATATACGCAACCTTCTCCACGTCAAGTCTATCTACCGAAAGATGACACGAAAATCGCGTGCGCCGCGTTGGTTATCGAAAAACGATTTGAGCATTCCTTCCATCTTAAACATTGTTCTGACTATTTTCCAGTCTCTTCCTTATGTCACATGATTAGAGAACTATCTTGTCTTTGAAAAAAGATACTTTAATACAAAGAGCTTTTTAAATATTAGTCAAAATTAAGTTTGTAATTCTTGCGTGTTTTAAATTAATAAATGGATTTGTCAAGAGCTTTGACGTGTTTGAACAATTCCTCAGCATTATCCTGTTGTTGTAGAAAATTATACACTATTTCTAAGCTTTTTGAAGCCTCGTTAATACTGATTATTTCGGGTCATCGGATTCCTCGCTATTGCTATTAGTAGGTAAGTCTGTCTGTTTCCTACATAATTCAACAAGTTCGTTGTCGTCAGGAATTACATAAACGTCCTGTTCTTCGAGGTTACTTAAAAATTCTTCAATCGACATAGCATCAGGAAGGTCGAGAGATGTAAGTATTTCAGAGAGCTCTCCTAGCGTTGGAGTATCGATTTTATAAGAGCCAGTAGTGATAGTCAGTCGTGATTTCTTTATTCGGTCTGACTATAATCGTAGGTACTGTAATTTCTTAGGGTAACACTACTGATAGAGAGGGAAGGCTATCTATGGTGGGAATTCGAAAAAACCGTGCAGTGCAGAATATGGAGGGTGTGCAGGGTGCATTTATAGAGGGTTCACTGAATGAATACAAACACTGTGTGCAGAGTTCTACCAAAGGTATCGGCCTGTAGTTTGTATAATAAGCACGATCCATTTTGATGCTCATGCACTAAATTTTTTAGTAAGTGGCTTAATTACGCTTGATAACAAGATTGTCTGCTGATACAAAGAAGCAGTGGTCAGTTCTAGTCAAAAAGTGCATTGCTTATAAAAGTTCGACACGTCTTTCTTATACTAGTTTTCCGTCATTCATAGTGAATGAGATAAAGTTATTCTATATAACTCATTATCACAACGCTGGAATAACGGTACACGCTTCAGCAATAGAATCTATATAAGCGATAGAGCGCAAAGTTGAACCCTATCGCCTGCATGATCTGTGTTATTAGCGTACGCGTTTGTGCAGTGGGACGCAATTTTATCGACACTTTAACTTTGTGTCACTAGTGCATACTTTCATAGGCAACTTTCGTGACAGGCCCGGCCCGTTTTAATTCGGAACTTTGCGTATTTGTAACCAAACCTAAAACAATGCGTATAATTTAAACTTAATTCATATTAGTTCAATCTACATGAAATGATAGACCGTATTACTTGTGATTGTGTATGGCATATTTTTAAAGTAATGTTTGCTACATATTTAATCAACTGTACACTTTATCTTACAATTTACTATTATAATAAAAACTTTGTATATTGTTTTATCCTTGGGTTTATAACTTTATTTACAGTCTGATCGTAATACAGTAATAGCAGTGTGTTTTATGTGTTGATTTTCCCCCTTGCTGCTGCTGCAACAAACCATTTGACTATCGAAGCGGGGTTCATATGAAAAGAAGAGAGAGATTGGTTTGTATTAATGCTTGTAGAAAATCAAAGTTGAATCGGGTGTTAGCATGCTAGTGAAAGGGTAGGACAGGATGGGGTTTTCAATTTGACGGTTCTTCTAGAATAAGTCGTGTAACCATGATATTAATTAGTTCGATCACCTGAAATCTGTATGTAAACCAAAATTAGTAACTGCGATCTCTGTTTTGGGGATTTTATCATTTCATGTGATAATCAGCAACTCGTGTGTGCAAATGTTGTACTACAGTTAACCCCAACCTTTTTTCCTGTAATCTGCACTAAGCATTAGCACGACTCCGTATTGGAAGTGGAGTTGCTCAAATTCCCCAAACTTGATTTCCTTGGATAAATACTTTCGTTTTTTAATTAATTTTGTTTTTGCAAATATAGAAAGTCAATTACAAAAATATGTGGCGCTTTACCAGTCCACACCGCCCCCTGTCTGTGGCACTATTACCGTCATTTTGTCTGCCCCACTTATCACTTTCTTGTACTTCGATTCACTAATATTTGCAAACCTTCCTCGCACTTTCCAACTTATACCATGTTGTCTCGTCGCATAATGTCTCACACAAAGCGTTCCTCAACAGACACTTCCACTATAGAGGAAGAAACAATCTCTTTACAGAAACACAACTCTGCTGATCAGCACTATATCCCGGCGATGCTAAGTGCCGTTCACACAAGGGTATCCCTGACTTGTAATTTTGGTGATTTGCCCAGTTGGATGCAAGATAATAAGGACATACTAAGAGGTTACAGAAGACCAACTTTTAGTTACCACAAATGTGCGAAGAGTCTGTTTTACCTTCATAACGAGAGCGGTAGGTATTTTGCAAAAAAAAAAAAAAAAAACTAACATAGACAAGCCAATATTAAAGGGGATGTGAAGTGGGCTTGCGGGTACGGGTGTCGAAAGTATTTGCGCGAATAGAGCACAGTTCACCGTTAATATGACACGGCTGGTCAATAGTTGTGATGTCACAGTGTATTGAATGAAAAGACTTTATTGCATATAAAAACTGGATAGTAGACGCAAGAATGTCTGGCTGCTATACATGCTGGGTTATTAAAGTGGCGAGGATCGGGTTTGAATAGGTAAGGATCTCGCGCGGAAAAGGTTTTTTAATAGAAGAAGAGCTCTTAATGTTGATTTACGATGCGTTATCACTGTTTCTGATGATATTATCTTGTTAGCTTAGGAGTTAACTATGTATATAAATTGGGTGATTTCGGGTCATATGTAAAGCAATTAATTAATGAGAGCAAAAAGAGGGAAAAAAAGAGAAAAAAACAAAAAGTCTAGCCGTTATATGGATTGTATAACTCTGTCATATTAGCGTATCATCGAGGTAACGGGTGTCATATTAAGAAGGTGGACTGTACTCTCAGTTTTATTAACGATGCCTGGCCCTTGTAGACGAAGATTGTCTATTTCTGTTCACATATTAAACAAGTTTTTTCTCTCTCTCTTTTCCCGACTTTTCAACACTTGAATAGTCAACATTTGGTCCCACCTTATTGGCGCACTTGCCTTCCTATTTATCGCCTTTATGACCTATTCGCAAGTTCTCGCAAGTATACAGTCAACCTCATGGCCGGATTTTGCTGTATTTTACATTTTCCTCGGGGGAGCAATGACTTGTCTGGGTCTATCATCCACTTTCCATACCGTCAGTTGTCACTCAGAGAAGGTATGTAAAGGATGGAAGGTTTGAGGCAAAGAAAGCACACAAAATTGTTTTATCTACGAGATGTTCTCTACTGAATCAAGTATTGAGAAAATAACGTCTTATATTCGGCATTTGATCCATCTAGGTTTGTGCTGATTGGAACAGGTGCGACTATATTGGAATTGTCACTCTCATAGTGTAAGTCTACTAGCAACGATAAAATGTTGGCATGTGGTAGTTGATGATTTAATAACAATTCTTCGTTGCCTATAACAGGGGATCGTTTTTCCCGATGATTTATTACGGTACGATATATCAAATTTGTCTAGCCGTGTCATAATCTAGCATATAATTTTCATGCTTATCCTGATTTACTCTTCAACAGGCTTTTATTGCGCTCCTCTACTACAGGCAATATATCTTGGCATGATATCTCTCTTTGGCGGAGCAACAGTAAGTGTTTTTTTATAGTGTATCAATAAATGCTACGATACTAACTAATGACTACCAACGTTTCGCAGATAGTGGTTGCTGTAGCTAGTCATTTCCGATCCCCAGAGTTTAGATGGTTTAGGACTGGATTATTCATAGCCATGGGATTAAGTGCTATATTTCCTATAGCTCATGCGCTGATAATATATGGGGTAAGACGTGATTGGATCATGTATAGTTTGTCATTGCTGAATATTATAGTGTTGTAACATCTGTCTGCTCGTTTGTAGTGGCGATTATGCTTCGACGTTATATCATTGAATCATATGCTACTGATGGGCAGCTTGTATATATCAGGAGCTCTTATTTATGGGGCGAGAGTACCCGAGCGATGGTTTCCTGGTAAATTCGACATATGGGTAAGTCAAAGTAACGAAATAAGGCAGAATCAGAGGCCCTCATCGCTGTCAATCAAAACGTAAGAAGGAACTAACTTGTAATTCTCTTTTTTACAGGGATCCTCTCATCAAATATTTCATATTTTTGTTGTTGGGGCGGCGTTGGTTCATTATTATGGGGTAACAAAGACTATGGCTTATTGGCATGCACAAAATCACTCGTGCCAAAAAGAAATTGAATTGATGGTACCCAGTTAGCAAGTAGTATAAACAAATACATAATAGAATTCATATAATATCAAGTCCGTTCTTGTTATCTGTCCCGATTGTATTCTTAAATGCAATGCATCAGTACAAACGACATGAACTGTGTGATTTCCCCATCAAGTAATAGAAATTGCAATTAATATAGTCTCATGGGGTTAAATACGAGAAAGCATCTGTGCATGGTAATATTGATTTGGTGGTCCTTTATTGACACAGCTACGGTGGACCGCTAGAGCTGTTTTGCATGGTAATATTGAATGTTAGAATTAATGCCCTAATATCTCAACCAATAAAATTCACTATCCAGTTTTTCATAGTCAAGAAACATACGTCTTTGATATTACATATTTTTGAGACTGCAAAAGGGTCAGTATAAGAATTTTGATTTTAGGGATACTAACAACTCAATAGCATATCAGATTCTTCACCAAATAGAGACGTGATCTCGATATTTTGTGTTAAAATAACGAGCAGTTAAACATCTTCTAATATGCAATGGATAGACAAAACCTCTGAACAATTCTGTAATACTCGGTAAGTTGGACAGAATTTCTCTGTTCTTTTTCTTTTTCATATTCTCATATGTAAGTCGGATTCCTTGATAATGGGACCAGCCATGCCGTTTTTGTCGGGGATTATCGAGTCATCATGAGACACACACGCTTTTTGAAAACTGGCTTACATAATCTTTAATGTCAAATATTACCTCATTAAAATACTTAATACTAAGTTTTGCATTGTTTCAAGCCGTAATTTTAATTAATAAATAATATTCCATTGTGTTACCATTACGTTATTCTTGTCGCGGATAAATCATTGTATATATTTTAAGTTTCTCTGTCAATAGTTTTGGTTGCTCAGTTTGACGTACAAGGAGGGCAAACGTTTTTTAGATCCGAAAAAGACATATTTTAATGACCCTGCCGAAAGTAATGAAATGGCAGATAAATAACCGCCAGTTTACGTCTTAAAAAGAAACATTAAGAGCGCAATACACGTCTTTCGAATAACGCAACTCATTATGGTAAAAATTGGCCGCATTGACTTCGAAAACACCTAGTGACGAATGGAATAATACCACACTTTTATGATAATGTAAAGAAAAAAGTGCTGATGGAAGTCAAATAACCATTGATAAAAGTATTGCTACAGCAGTGAAGAATTTTCTCGGAAATTATGCTGAAAATTCAAGGCTCAAGTCTTAGTAGAAACGTCAATCGAATTAATTAATCACTTATACTCGCCAGTTGACGAATTTTCCTGATTTTATTATACATAATCCAACGCTTTTGAGAACATAAACGTAAAATTTCAGAGATCGATCAGATGCCTCCCGCAAAACTTTTAAACGTCAAGTTTATTAATTCGAGGTATATTTATACTCATACTCAACTTTGGCCATAAAAATTCAAAAACTTATACCTTGATTCTTTCCAACCGAATTCTGTAATATTTTTTTTGTTTCCTAGACCATCAGCAACAAATTACTACTAAAATGGCAAACAATCATGTGGCATGATGACAATTGATAATACGATCAAAACTGATAGTACGTGTAATAGCGCAGTTTTCGTCTTTTCTATTACATTTTGAAAAAAAAATGTCACGGTCTTTAATCATCAAACATAAAAATAACCTGAAGGAGTAAGATAAATAATACCCAAATAATAATATTCTAAATTAATATTTGTAATAATAACAACCAAAAACCCTGAATATAACACCACATCAATTTTTTTGCTTTTTCCAAAATGATCATGAATGCTTAAATAAAACAAAAAAAAATTATTTATACCCAATCATTAATAATCTCCCCCTAATACTAACTCCTCTCCATTCCTTAGTGTGTGCAAGGCAGCTGATAAATGAATAGCTTTAAAATTTGATTTCAAAATCTACCATTCCTTGTACTAGTAAAACTTAGATTGTTAGAGCATTTTGAATATTATTATAAATTGCAATAGTTCACCAGCTTTTTGCTGACAAGTACTCGTGATCCATACTGATACAAAAGATTTTCTTGATTCGATTAGTTTTCTGGAGAAATTCAATGCGGTGAAATTCGTATACAGTTAGAATTGAATTTATAAACACTAATTTGTAATTACAGCAAACAAGATGACATTTATAATCATGCTATCAAAACGAAATACTAAGCGGTGCGAATAAGAGAAGGCATCATCTGTAAAAAAATCATTGCTACAATTAGAGCACTTTTGCTTCGACCTGGACACAAACGTTCGATATTTTTATTACGTCTTGTTCTTTATCAAATAAAAAAAGAAAGGTCACAGAAGAGGAACAGAACAAAATAAACTTTATCTTGGTGAAAACAGGTCTACTTTATTATTTTTTCCTCATAAGCTGATTCTATTCCTCAAATTAATTTTTTTAACTCAATTCTATCTCCAGATAATTAAATTGAAGGGGGGGGGGGTTAGTTCTTTTTGAGTGTCCTTTTTAAACTAATGTTTTGCTATCGATCTTGTTAAATTAAAATTTAGAATTCAATATATCGAGCAGACAGCACAATCTATAATTTTTTGAGAGGGAAGCGGAGCAGAACGTGATAAAAAATTACTAGAACGGGAGTAGAAGAGGTTTACCAGTGGAATCAGCGCTATTATAGAAAATGAGATAATGGATTCCGTTTCCCAATTTGAAAGTCAGTTGAAACTGTATGAAACATTCTGTTTGCCATGAATAATATTAACATGAGAAAAGGTTTGAACGATCAGAACCTACAGAAGAAGACGAAAAACAAAACGCGAGAGAAAACATGGTATCTGTTTAATAATAAAGATAAGTAAATCTCGTAGAGGTATAAATGAGAGCGGAGCGAAAAGTAAAAGTATGTGAAGCGGGTACATTTTCACAATGGATTATTTAGTCAGCAAGTGAAAAAGCGCTTATATTTCAAGTGAAATTTAGAGAACTAATTTTTAAGTGACTAATATAAACCGGCTGCAAGTTTAGAAATACAATACCAGTTTTGTGTAATAACAATATGGCACGAAGGTCACCTTTTATAGCTAAGATTATAACTTTTATAGTTGGATTGGAGAAAATCTTCGTTATAAACAGATCTTCATTATAACCAGAGTTCGTTATAGCCAGCTTTGACTGTAGTCCGATGACGGCAATTGTTTCACGTTCCCATCCTTGGGAGGCCAACAGATACGTGATATTTGAGCGTTATGATAATACTAAGTAGAAACAATATAATCATCAAACAAACTGTTCTGATAATGTACCCTCCCCAAAGTGAAGGTACCTTATGAATACATAATCACGTAATGGACCTCTTTCCGATGATGAATGCGCATTTTCCCATATACTGGTTTAGGTTCATTGAAATGATCTTAAAAAGAAAATCTGCCGTCTAGTAGATAAAATAAAAGTGAAGCGTAAGAGTGGGCTTATGGGAACGTAATAAAAGCTAATAATTGCGCCGAGTCGATGGAGTGAATGACGAGAGCAGCAATACAATATGGATGAACGAAACCCCACCCACCACTTTTCTCGACACTACTTTTGTCTGCCAGTTTAAACGACTTCCCGCAGTGTTGCCTAGTCGTCGAGGAATTTCTTGACCTACGCTGTAGTTTCCAACTTCAGCGATATTATGCAACCGTTTGATAATACAATTCCGTGGGAGATCAAAATAGCTAAGTTCAAGACGACATCTTATATAACCCTTGAATTCAGCCCATTTCGCTCATAATGCTCCTTCCGTCCGGAAATGTCCCATGTACGTGTATCCTATTGATACATATTAGAAATCTCCAAGGATTAGTCATCAGGATATGACGCTAGAAACAAATAAATATATATTGTGCTTCACAGATGTATAATACTGACTCTAAATTGGCAGCAAGCGCAAGCTACAGTGGCCATGTTATGTCAAACCGATTAATTTATTTTGTGCTCTATTGTTAGAAATTAAATAAAAATAAAGGAGGGGAGATTGAAGGAAAAATGACTTATCAATTGAAAACATAGTGGAATCCAGCATTCCTATTCCCATCATCATTCATTATATTCGATTATTCACACATGTTCTCCTCTATGGTAACCTAACCCTAACCCATCTACCAAATACCTACCTAAAGAAAAAAACCCTCAACATCATTCATCCAGACTACAAGCATCCATAATACCAATTTTTCTTCTTCTATATTTCATTACTCACAATTTTACCAAGGAAGCTCCTCATCAGAAATACCTCTCAACATAACCTTCAAATACATTGGCATCTCTGCACCTTCCAACACTTCCAACGCAATGGCAATAACATCCTCTCGACCATTAAACTGTCTCAACACATCCACGCATTCGCATATTCCCTGTCTCAGATACATCTCCATAACATCTCTGTTCATGTACTCGGGTCCCATACGCTTCTGATCACACAACCACATGTTTTGCGATGGAATGTATTTGCTAAATCTCCGTAGGTAGGGCGCCATCCACCTAATTACGAGTTCACGCGACGGAGTAACGACTTCTGCGAGACAGTCGAAAAGGGCGGGATTGTATGAAGCTGGGTTGAGGAGAGTGACAAATGCGTCCATACCACAGGAAGACGAAGGGGAGGAATTCCATTGAGTTGTCACGGCGGCTTCGTCGTAGGGATTCTCAGGAGTGGCGGTACGTTTTTTGTATGTATGCCATAATTCAATGCCTACGGGAATATTTGATTTGAGAATTAGGAGAAAGCGAGATTCCTGTGTTTCTGTTGGGGCTACGTAAAGAGCGATCAAGCGTTCTATGAACCTGCGGAGGTCGGGTGACATTAGTCAGCAAGTGAGTTTTGGTAGCAACTGGCGTGTCGGAGCAGGCATGATTTGGCTAATACTTTTGGGTATGTAGGATTGTATCACATGATCGTATATTGCGAAACCAATACTACAAATTTAGAAGACAACAGAATTACTGATCGGATTACTAAGAACGCCATGCAAACGCGTAAGCATATATGTATATACAGTCTTCTACAATTTATGCAAAGTACATTAATATAGTCTATTCAATTATTTATAGCATATTAAAGCGAAGGTTTGAGGTGGGCAATTAGTTAGACTTCATTTGGGATTGGATTAAGATTAATATCTTAAAAAAAGTATTTATAGCGATGTGCATGATCCGGTCTAGGAATTAACCCGTTTTCGAGATTTATAATCTCTTGGCGTTCTGATCGGCAGTTAAGTTCAGCCCGATATTCAATGCCCAGTTCGAAATAAGCATAAAAATATTGGTTGTGATACAGCCAAAACCTCGTTATACCGAACCCCGTTATACCGGACTAAGTAAAAACCCGCTAAACCACAGAAGCTAAAGCATCTGCCCCGGAATTTATCACTCATGTCACCGACCTCTTAGGTCCGACTGTATTGCCTATTGCGAATTTCGCTAATTTATGATGTCGGAATCGAGTTGATCCGTTCTCAGAATGGGTCGTACATGTCACATTTTCTGTATTAAGACTAACTGGTTTTCATAGCCACACAAAGGAACATTGTTCGAGCAATTTTTTTTCCGCAGATTGCCAAGCACTTTACTTATAATGAAAATGCTAGCGCTGTTTATACGATCACATACCTCTATTTATATTCTGGTGTGCTACCTAACTTAACGAGATCAATGTTTCATAAAACGAACGATGCACTAGAGCTAAAGTCAAGCGCCGCCGATTTTCTGATGGAACATAAATTCGAAGCTGCGTTATCTGATATCAACAAGTCATTGGAATTGGATTCTGATAATATGGTTGCGTTAAGATTGAGGGCTAAAATATATATCCATCTTAAGCAACATTCGAACGCACTAAAAGATTTCAATAGATTACTGGAAATTAACGAAAAAGATGCTGATGCGTTAGGATCAAGAGGAGAAATATATTACATATCTAAAAAGTATGATGAGGCTTTGAGGGACATCAATAAGGCGTTAGAGCTCGAACCAACCAATGCATACAATTTGAGCATAAGGGGCGACATTCACTATAAACATGAACGATATGACGTCGCAATAAGTGATTTCAGCCAGTCATTAGATATTGAACCGCATGACGTATCAACTCTGAACAAAAGAGGAAATGTCTATCGCATACTCAAACAATATAAAGAGGCATTGGCGGATTTTTGCCAATCGTTGAAGCTTGAACCACATGATGCATGGACGTTGAGCAAAAGAGGCGAGGTGTATTTCCTACTTGACCTATATGAAGAGGCATTGGCTGACCTTAATGAATCATTGGAGATTGTACCACACAACAGATGGTGGGCATTAAGCATGAGAGGGGATGTCTATTGCGCAAGCGGACAATATCACAATGCACTAAACGATTTCAGTCGAGCATTAAGGAATAAACCAAATGATACAATGATGTTAGTGAAAAGAGGGAATATTCATTACAAACTTGGTCAGTATAGAACTGCATTAAAAGATCTAGATAAAGTGTTAAAGCTTAAACCAAATGACACAGCAGCATTGAGATTAAGAGGAAAGGTCTATGTCAGTCTTAATCAGCATGATGATGCACTGGAAGATCTCAACAAGTTATTAGCAATTGAACCAAAAGACAAGATGGCATTGAAAGAAAGGGCAGGCATTTACTATGCTCTCAGACAGTATAATGCTGCTTTAAATGATTACAACAGTTTACTAGGGATGGAACCAGACAATGCACGAATTTTGCGTATGAAAATTGACATCTACTATATTCTTGAACAATATGATGATGCATTAAATGATCTTAATAGATTATTACAACTCGAACAGTATGATTTATGGGCATTGAATAGAAGAGCATATATCTATTACAAGCATGATGAACATGAACATGCATTGAATGACCTTAGTAAATTATTAGACCTTGATCCAAATGATTCATGGGCATTGGGAATAAAGGGATCAGTTTTATATAACATTGATCAATATGAAAATTCATTAGAATATCTTAGTAGATCATTGCGGATTGATCCAAATAATGCATGGGTATTGGGTCTAAGAGGAATTGTTTATTACATGCTTAATGAAGATGAGAAAGCATTAGAAGATCTTGACAAGTCATTACAGATTGATGAAAATTATGAATTGGCTCAGAAAATAAAAGAAGATGTCGAAACACGACTGAGAAGAAAATTTATTGAGAGGTAAGTTGATCATTTAACATGGTATAATAATCACTCAGTATATTAATTATTAACTTGCATACAACTTTGCTTTGTCAACAAGAACATAGTAATAGTCAGGTTCTGCCATTGGAAAAGTCTCAAAATATAAAGCTTGATAACTCATTATAATGTGATGCAGTTTCTAGTTTTTCATGACTAAAATGTCTGATAATTTTAGAAAAAGCTTTTTTAAAATACAATTGCATGCATAATGTAAACAAAATTCATTAGCTGAAGCATCTTGCATAAAAGTTTACAAGTTGTAGTCTGCTTCCTAGGAGCAAGGCTTTATAGAGTATATGGGAATGTGGGGTTGCTTCTGTTAATAACAAATATTAGTATTAATATTAATTAATATTAATATTGATTTTTTGCTCAAAAATCATCACTCTACTCATATCATTTTCTTTCATCTCACTTCATTAATAGAGATAACAATAATTTGTCCTTACTATGCTGACAAAAAAGAGTTAATAATATTACCTGAAGTGGTCATGATTTAGATTCTTTGTCTTACAGGTTTTCTTCCCAATCTCCGGATTCCAGCCTGCATTTCCAGTCGTGAATTTGTGTTATGTTTTTTATACAGTTATCATTAACGATAAGCAAATTTTGCCTTATTGGCCGACTGTCAGAAATCGCGCATCTGTCCGGTGAAATGTAGCTGCGTTACCAGGAAAAGGCTGCTAACGATTAACAATGAACGATTTATTCTATTTCGGAATCTTGTTAAATCAGCTATATATGACATTACGCATTAGCATGGAAGCATAGCATACAATTTAAAGAGGAGTAAACCCTTCAAGACTGTAAATATCTCGTAACTTACAAGTTTATTCAAAAAAAGGTTGAGTTTTTAAATTAGAAAAAATAGACGTGTTAAAACATTGCACATTGACTTCACTTTATACCAATATGTATCATACCTGCTGCTAATGCTATTTTTCGGTTTAGGTATTTTCCTGTAGATAAGATCTTACTGGAGTACTTATTCTCTTTCTCGAGATATTATAAGGGTTTTACGTCATTATGGTAAATGGAATTCCACACCCTTGCAAAGCGTCCATGCGCCAAGACGCTTATCAAAATCAACACCACAACACCGCTCGACAAGTTTCTTGTATTCCTCTGGTGCGGAATCAGGCAACGATGATCGTAGTCGACCCATAATTTCGCACACTAATAACTAAATCTCTATCGAACTGCCTATCTCTAAAAGGCGGTTCACCAGTAGCGATCAAATACATAATGATACCAAAAGAATACACATCTGACTTGTGAGTAAATTTGCAGGTATGAAATACTTCCGGTGCAATAAAAGGTATAACGCCTCGAATTGTTAAGTTTGACTCGCATGAATTCACGGATCGTGAGAGACCAAGGTTGCATATGAATGGAATAAACAACGCTTCCGCCATGTAGATCACAATGTACTAATCCCCTATCATGAATACTATACAGATGTATTGCAATATACAATAAACACCTTCCACATCAGTTTGTTAATATTTTGAACCAAATAAGACAGAATAAGAAGATTACCATTGTTAGCATATCGCTAACAATCATGTGGGTCTTGTGTGTATCCATAAATATCAAGGAAAAAATAATTACCAGCTGCGCACTTGGCATAATTTCGGAACTGTTAAACAAAATAAATAGAGTCAGATTAAATATCTCACTTTAATAGACACTGCCAATTCCAATTATTGCTTACTTCAGAAATAAGTAATTCTGATACACTGCCAATTCCAATTATTGCTTACTTCGGAAATAAATAATTCTGATGCTTCATCAGAACTCCTAATCCGTTCGAGTACAATATACAACAGATTCTTCCATACTCTTTACTTCTGTATAATTTCTATATTTGGCGTATAAACTGATCCGTAACCGCCAGCTCTGATCTCTTAAGTTCATAAAAGTCACTATACTGCATGTGCTTTATATGTTCATTATTTCGCATAAACCTATCCAATAGTGAGCGTGCGTCTTGGTAGAAAACTAAACAATATTCCCGAGCAGATTAAGATGGCTCCTGCGTGATCCCAATTATCCAAACGTTATCTGGGTTAAAATATCTGGGTATTCCTTAATTGGCTATTAAATAAACAGAATACGGGTTTTAGTATTAGCACACCATACACATTAATAATAATATTTGCGTTTTACATTTGAGATAATTTACCTGATGGAAATCATCTCCTTTATCAACTATCTTTTTGAGCGTCACACGTGTCGTTATCTGGCGTAATGATGTACATTTGTCAAAAGAGGGTATTCAATCTAAATCCACTCTATATACACATCACATATGCTCTTTTTATTACTCCATAATTCCATAATAAACGAATCCAATGACTCGTCGCCCGTAGTCCAGTTAAGAGCTCGTGGTGCCTTTCATGCATAACAGAATGCATGATTCTCACCTTTTATTAGACAATACTTTTGTTCATATTCATCATATGTAAATCCGATGTTAACCCAAACTAAAACATCCGTGGTCAGAATATTGGATGCTTATCACATAATTAGTTATAGTGGAAATGATACATAATAATAAGTCAATGATTATTTTAACTATTCAATAGACATGATGTATAAGTAAATAGTTTACC